ATGGGTGTCAAACCCAGTTTTTTTTTTGTGCTCTGCAGTTGGTCACGGTGGATTGTGAAGCCGAGAGGGCAGAAGTGAGTGAGTGAGTCCCGGGCCCGCGGCGGCACAGCAAAAAACAAAAACGCTCCCCCTCTCTCTCTCTCTGTGTTTTTTTCTGGTGTGCAGTCGCCTGCTGGTTTTGTGTAAATGGGCCTGCTTGTTTTTTGCTCTGCAGTCGGCCACGGTGGATTGTGAATGAGTGAGTCCCGGGCCCGCGACAGCACAGCAAAAAAGAACAACGCCCTACGTTTAGGGCGAGCCGTGTCAACTTTTGTTTGCTGTGCAGTCCCACACTGCTCTTCTCTAAATGACATGTAAATGTGCGTGGAACCCCCGCCCAGAGTGGATGTGAGTGAGTGAGTCCCAGGACTGCGACGGCGCAGCAAAAAAACACGAATTAGGCGGAAAAAAACGCGCCCTGTGCCGGAAGAGGGGGAATTGAACGAGTGAGTCCCGCGGTGCTGCGATGGAGCAGCACAAAAAAACCTACAGGGCCACACCATCATGCATGCATTGTGTTTGCAAGGGGGGGGAGAGGGTGGGCCTGCATACCCCCCCAACCCCCCCTGTTTTAAGCCGTGCAAGCTTGCTTCAAAGCATGTTCATTGCGGTGGGCCACCCCCCCCCCCAACCCCACCCCCCCCCCCCCCCGCCCCCCCCCCCCACCCCCCCAGCCCCCCCCAAGCCCCTTTAATCATGCGAGCATTGTGTTAGAGATGGGGACCCCCCGCGCGGTTTTGAGCCGTGCACGCTTGCTTCATGGCATTTTTCTTGAAACCCATTATGCGAGCATTGTGTTTGCAAATCGGGGGGGGGGGGGGGGGCTGCATAGCGAGTGCGGGACACTACAACCAAAAGGGGGTTATTACAACCAAAAACCGGGATGGTGTTGGTTTGAGGGCAAACCAGGAACCGTGATATCAACAACCGCTGATTAAGGTTACAAGTCACCAACATTCCAAACCAGAGTTGGGGTCCTAACAGAACACCTTGCAACTTTGAAAACATCTTCAGCTTGGACCCTGTCCTCCCTGGGTTGTCTAAGCCCTATCAGCACTGCGAGGCCAAATCCTAGAGCTTGAGTAACAAATGCCCAGAGAAAAAAGCGCAGCTGCAGATTTTGCAGAGAGTGCTCGATGCCACAAGGGGCTTCGTTTCTCATTGATTTTACATGTGATTGCCCCGTGATTTTGTGGTTTCTTTCCTCGTGACTTTTACTTGCTGTGGGCCACAGAATTCCCTACCCGAGGAGTTTGTATAAGTAAATTTACTTCGCTTCTGCAACATTGATAGTTTTCATATGTGGTTACGCAGTGATCTCATGGGTTTCTCCTGATGATTATGTGTTGCGGGCCACAGAATTCCTTTCACCAGGAGCTTGTAAAAATGAATTTATTTCGTTTCTGCAACACTCATTGATTGTACATGTGGTTGCCCAGTGATTTCGTGGTTTCCTCCTTCTATGTGTTGTGGGCCACAGAATTCCCTACACCAGGAGCCTGTATAACAAAATCACTTCGTTTCTGCAACATTGATTGCTTTCATATGTGATTGCCCAAAGATTTCGTGGATTTATTTCGTTTCTGCAACACTCATTGATTTTACATGTGGCTGCTGTTTTCGTGTGGTTTCCTCATGACTTTTATGTGTTGTGGGCCACAGAATTCCCTACACCAGGAGCTTGTATAAACAAAATTACCTCGTTTCTGCAACATTGATTGCTTTCATATGTGATTGCCCAACGATTTCGTGGTTTTCTCATGGTTTTTTTAAATATCTCTTACCTTGTGGGAAAAATCAGGAAACTCTTCTACCTCGACCACGAAGCTTTACACAGCCAGGCACATTCTTAGGGGGTCGCCAAACTCTGCAGCCATTCGCAGGAGCCAGAATGGCCTCCGGTTGCAATATCCACCAAAATGCAAGGCACTGGTTGTGCTATCCGCATTCTCAGGCCTCCTCAGTTGTAAAAACCCACTTTCCTGGTTTTGGTATCCTCCAACTGGTTGTGTTATCCTTTCATCTCGGCTGCGTATTCCCCACCACGCAAGCTTGCTTCAAAGCATATGAATTTCTGAAGCCCATCATGCGAGCGTTGTGTTTGCAAATGGGGGGCCGGGCTGCGCCCCCCTCCCAACCCCCCCCGTTTTAAGCCGTGCAAACTTGCATCAGGCATGCTTTTTTTGAAACCCATCATGCCAAGCATTGCTCCCTGTTTTTTGTAAGTCGGGAATAGAGGTCTTTTCAGGGAGAGCCAAGGAAACAGAGTCAAAATTAAGAAGGGCTCGAGCAAGATTAATTCACACTCTACTAAAGTTGATAAGGAATTCGATGAAATGTTGTATGAATCCTATCAAGTATGGATGGCCCAATGAGGGAAAAGCGGTTTTTGCAACTGAAACCAAGGAAAATACCCAAAATCAATACGGATTCAAGGAGTCGACGTCTTATTCAACTCAGTAAGAAATCCAATGAAAAGTAGTATGAAGCCTATGAAAATATACAGGATCCTAGTACAATATGATGGGGTTTTCTTCGGGAAGCCCAAAAGAGCAGAGCCAAACTTTCCACGGATTCGAGCAGAATCAATAAGAAAGCCTACGAAGAGCCGTATGAATCCAACATAAAGGGAACCGAGGTTTCGTTTAGGGAAGGCCAAGGAAACACAGCCAAAATCAAAAAGGATTCGAGCGGAATAAATGAGAGACCCTGCGAAAAGTGCTATGAATCCTAGAAAAACTAGGATAAAGGTTTTCTTCGGAAAAACAAAGAGAGCGGACCAAAAAGAATCCCCCAAAAAGGGTCCCGAAAAAACCTCCACCCAACAAAAACGCGTCGCCACCAGCCCTGAGGCAGCGCATGGCCTGGAAAGCCCGCCGGCACGGCAGCACGATGAAGGACTGACTTAAGTACTTTCTGCGGATATGTGGTGCAATCCGTCGATCATGGGCTACGTGCGCGGCAGTGCAGCGGGCTTGCGAGCAGTGGTGCACCTTTGACGTGCCCTTGATTGTACTGTTTCTGGAGTCAGCAGGGGGCGCGATTCCACATTGCAAGCTGCTTGACATGAGGCTCACGTGTGACCGGGGAAGCAAATCATCAGACAAAGGTTGTGCCTAAGCCTAAAGACGCGGACACGTAGAAGAAATCTGCATAGCAGGAGGGGCGACAGGTCACGCCGGTACGTTGGGGAAGTTGAATATACTCAAGACTGCCGGGCCATGGGGGGCACTTGTTCAAGTCGCCCTGCAACGGCGAATCCACAGTATGCCCCAATGTGGGTAGTGGAAGTTCGGCACATCCTTGAGATGACAGGAAGACTAACGCCACATCAAGTCTTGAAGTCTGAAGGTCTTTTAGAGAAGTGGGGCCCAAAGAAGTTCACGATCTTCATTTCACACCAGTGGCTTGGCTTCCGCCATCCTGATCCGAATGTGGTGCAGCTGGAGGTACTTCAAGGCATGTTGCGCAAAGCGGCGGCAGGGAAGTTGAAGATCGAGGCAGATATAGTCTCGAATTTCCACAAGAATCCAGGCGCGAGGATTGACCGAGTACACGAGCTATACCTTTGGTTGGACTACTGTTGCGTGCCTCAGTTTGTGGACGGACATTTAGTGCCTGGGCTGGCGGAACTGCAGCTGGAGCATGTGCGCAGCATTCCCAGCTATGTAGAGCTTTGCGGGCTTTTTGTGGCTTTGGTGCCCAAGGCCGTGCACCATGACACAGGATTAGTATGTTCATACCACAGCTGGTTGCAACGCGGGTGGTGCCGCACCGAACTATGGTGTCATTCCCTTTCTACAAAAACTCCCGTCATCACGGTGAAGAGCCCTGATATGGTGAAGATGATCTTTCCCCGGTGGCACCTCTACCCAATCCGCTCCGGTGAGTTTGCCGTGGAGGATGACCGGGACAGATGTGGCCGCGTCGTTCAGGCGGCCTTGTCCAAGTATATCTCGGAATTGCGCGAGAAGAAGGACGAGGTACCTTTCCGGTTGTACCTCTCATTGTTCGAAGAGATGGTGGGTCTTCCGATCAAACGTCGCAATGTCGAAGACTTCCTGAAAGAGTTTCACTTTTCTCCACCTCTTCAGCAGCATAAAGGCTTCGGGCCCATGGCCTGCGCAGCTCTTTCAGGAGATCATGACCTAGTTCTTGCCCTTGCACATGCCAACGCCTCCCTCCACACCCATGCTCCTGGCATGCGCGAGACCTTGAACCAGCCACATTTTACACCCCTGCATTTGGTGCTTTGGTTCAAGAGTCAGGACCTGCGTGTCTTGGAGACTCTTCTGGAACTGCGAGCCGATCCCAACTCCTCGACTATCCATGCCTGGCCAGCTTTGATGGGTTGCCGTACAGTGGAGTCTCTGGAGCTGATGGTGCGCTACGGTGGAGATGTGAATACTCCTGGAAAAACGCTCTTTCGAAATCGGCCAATCCACAACATGACATCTTTCGGGCCGCCGTGTGAAGTTGTTGCCAAATTAGTGGAGCTCCGAGCGAATCTACATGGCTCAACAGAAGGCCTCTCAAGTATGTCACCTTTTTGTGCGCTTGCAACTCAAGGGGATTGCTCCCCCAACGATCTCCGGATCGCACAGCTGTTCATTGACAGCAAAGCAGACATCAACCAAAGGCTCCAGCCGGAGGGCATGTCGCGGGCCATGGAAATGGTGGGTCGAGCTTACTGCCGCTTTAGCAGGGGTGACCCCGGTATACTTGCTCGATTCTTTAAGGATTGCAGCACCACAGGCCTGGGTTGGTGTGCGATTCTTAACAACGATGGCCTGTTGACTTTCTTGCTTCATGCCCGTGCGGATCCAGAGATCAGGAACAACAGGGGTCTCCGACCCATTGACTTTGCCGCTTCTGAGAGAATTCGATCGATTCTTCAAGATCCTACTCCGCATTTTCTCGTTTTAGAGCACGAAGCCGAAATCTTCAGTCAAAGCTTTTGACGATGCCAGAACGCCTCAGTAAGAAAGCCTTGATAAGTGGGGACTCTTCTCGGGGTGAGAAAGGCTGAAAGGCTGAGCGCAGAACGGATGTCGCTCAAGAGCATAAGACCGTGAGACGGAGGTCTGGAAAAGCCTTCGGCACGTACCAAGTCAGGTTTCCAACTGTGCGAGAGCCGAGTGATCTTTGAATCCCGAGCCGTGAACCCTAAAGCTTTGTAGGAGTTTTGCAAAGCCTACATCCCCTTTAAAAACCCGAGCGCCCTGAACCGTAGCCTCTAGGTGCAGCAAGCCTGGTGCTGGTTTCCTTGATGACGGAAATGGTGCGGATGAAGGAATAATGACGGTCAGACAGAAGTCGCAACTGCTTCCAAGACCCCAGCACCGAACCACAGCCTCGAAAAGTTGGCCGTGGTCCTTCGCTGCTTGTGCCAATGGCACGCGCCACTCTTCTCCATCCGGCAGGGTCAAGAATCCGGTTTTCAAGGGCCGGCGCTGCCGTGTGGCGGCAAGTTCCTAGTTCTGTGCTTTCCGTTGCAAAGGCTCCGGTTTGTGGCCATGACTGGTCTGTCTGGTCTGGCGTGTCTGCTCTACTCATGACTCACAGCCTAATCCCAAAAAAAACCCGAGAGCTCTATATATGGTTCAGCCCCGGCGGGCCCCCCTCCCCCCCCTACCCCCCCCTACCCCCCCCCCGGATGGGGTACTAGATGACCCCCCCCCTGTGTGGTGTGTTGGGGGTTGGTTTTAGGGTTTTAGGGTTTAGGGTTTAGGGTTAGGGTTTTAGGGTTTTAGGGTTTTAGGGTTTTAGGGGGGTTTAGGGTTTAGGGTTTAGGTTTAGGGTTTAGGGTAGGGTTAGGGTTTAGGTTTTAGGGTTTAGGGTTTAGGGTTTAGGGTTAGGGTAGGTAGACTTGGGTGGGGGGGGGGGATTATTGGGGGGGGGGGGGGCCGGGAACGCCCGACGCTGAACCATATACCGTAGCCTCTAGGTGCAGCACGCGTGGTGCTGGTGGCCTTTATGTGACGGCATACTGCGGATGAAGGAATAATGACGGTCAGACAGAAGTCGCACAGCCTCGAAAAGTTGGCGGTGGTCCTTCGCTGCTTGTGCCAATGGCACGCGCCACTCTTCTCCATCCGGCAGGGCCAAGAATCCGGTTTTCAAGGGCCGGCGCTGCCATGTGGAGGCAAGTTCCTAGGTCTGTGCTTTCCGTTGCAAAGGCTCCGGTTTGTGGCCATGACTGGTCTGTCTGGTCTGGCGTGTCTGCTCTACTCATGACTGTTGAAGAGCTTAGGCTCCTGATCTCTTAGGAGATGGGAGCACAGAGCAGTGAACTCGCTATGCCCACCTGTGGTGGCTCAAGGTGCACCGCGTAGCTTGCTGAGGTGAACGGAAAACATGTCCTCTGACATATGCTTGACAACAGACATGGATGTAATTGACCTTCCCTTACTTTATCCCACATTGGAGATATCCTTTCAGCTGGTGCGGCTTCTTGGCACTTACCTTTTACTCAGGATAGCTGATATCTTGGGTAGTGCTGTCTGCCAATCGACATGGTAGCGGAGCTCTGAGGATGCTTTGCTTGAGCCTTCGATCCAGGGCGGCACACAGCACGACGAGAGTTTCGACTACGCGACCATGGACATCAACAAGGACGATGACAAACGCGGCGTTCCACAGTTCAGCGGCAAGCTAGACGAGTACAGAGACTACCGGAAGAGAGCCCTCCTTTACTTCAATAGTCTAGAAGACTCCAAACAGAATCTGGCGGCACCACGGTTAATCTCAAGCCTCAGCGGGGCAGCCTTCGAGTGCTTCCGGGAACGGGACCCGGCGGAGTTCAGAACAGATCGTGGTGTGGCCCAGCTTCTGGCGATACTCGACGAACGCTTCCAGTTCACTCCCGAGCAGGAGCTTTCAGACAAACTTGAAGATTTGCTATTTCGGTTGCGCCGCCGCCGTGGCGAAGAGTCCACTTCCTTCGTGACCAGATTCGAGACTGCCCTAGCAAAGGTAGAAGAACTGATCACGGAAGAACAGCGAGTTGAGAGACGCCGACAGGGTGACTTGATGAGGTCCGAGTTCCGTAGGGCCAGCCTGGATTTCATCGTCGCTCAACAGCAACATCAAGCCACGGTCGCAGCTTTGCCGGAAGGAGCAGAGGCCCCAGCCGAACCGTTAGCACCTACTCCGCCCCGAGAACTTCCCCAAGTCCAGACTTTCAGATTCCCCGAGGTGGTCAAGGGCTTCATATTCCTCAGGCACATTGGCATTTCACTTCAAACCAGAGCATCGTTGCTTAGGTCAAGCGGTGGCTCCCTGCGCTATGACAAGGTTGCAGACCTGCTTAGGCGTACCGAGCTGGATGCCTTGGTTGCTAGCCGTTCGCAGGTAACCAGCCACGGCTTCTTTGCGGATGTGCCTGAGGAGGATGATCCCTATGAGGAGTCGCCCTTTGAAGTCGACGACGAATACGAGCCCGAGGAGGAGTTTGGTGCGTATGCTGAAGGCGAGGAGTCGGAGTTTACCGAGGAGACCCTTGAAGAAGAGGAGGGCGACGGTGAAGAGTACAGTGTGGCGATGATGGGCTACCTTGAGGCCCGCAAGAAGCTTTTGAGCTTGAAGAAGGCGAGGGGGTTCAAAGAGCCCGGAGAAGGGGCCGCACACCCCAAGGGCGGCCAAAGTGGCGGCGACAGAGATCGGCGTGAGCATCGAGACCGACGAGAACACCGAGATCGGGACCGTGGCCGGCCATCAACGCCAGCGCGAAGGCAGGATTTCAGCTGGAAGGACAGAGAACAGCCTCGTTCCAGCCAGCGGCCCTCGGCGACTCGACGGCCGCGAACACCGCCGCCTACCCGAAGGAGCAAGGGCGCTGGCAAGGGCAAGTCAAAGGGGAAGAGCAGTCGCTCTTCTGGCCATGCGAGGCGGGGTGAGCCACCAGGATCGCAGTACCTCGGCATGGCCATCACTGAGCCTCGCCAGGAATTTCGCTTTGTCCCTGAGTTCAGCTATGTGGCCTACCACGCAGAGCGATCGACGCCGTCTTCTTTGAGTTCCAAACCGAGAACCACTCCGGAGTTCTCCTTTGTGTCTCGGCAGTCCATCAGCCAACTCGAGCATTTTGTAGAAGAATGTTTGACTTTGGATCGGCTTCTGGGTCTTGAGCCAAAGTGTCCGGAAGGTTCTGAGTCATGCTGTCTGGTAACTCCACCTGGATATGCCATTCTCGACACAGGTTGCACTTCCACTTTAGTTGGGGATGAGAATGAGCGCTTGTGGAGTGAAGAGCTTAAGAAGCAAACAGGTGGAGCCTTAAAGCCGGAGCAGGGTGATTCAGACATAAAGTTTGAGGGCATCAATGGAGAAACCAAAGCCACCTATCGGGTAAAGTATCCTGTGAAAATCGGCCCGAGGGATGGTTTCATTCAGGCTGCGGTCATTCCAGGGAAGGCCCCCTTCCTCCTTTCTATCCAGGCCTTGCGGGCCATGCGAGCTAAGCTAGACTGTGCAAACGATGTACTTGAAGTACCTGGCATAGGGAAGGTGCCACTGGAGACCAATGCCGTAGGTCATTACCTCCTGCCCCTCCTCGACTTTTCCTCTGGACACGCCTTCGCCTCAGCCGAGGCGGGATTTGGTCCGGACAGCGAGCTGATCGTAGACGAAGCTGTTACCAGGCCTGAATCGGTTGTCGTAAATGGTCCTCCAGGGTTAGATGTAGCGGGGGGACTAGGGGAAACAGTCACAGCTCTTGATCCGGACCAAAGCCCAGACATCGCTGAGTCCGAAGTCCAGCATGTTCCCAGATACAACACCATTAAGGGTCGATCAGACGGGTATGCCATAGGAGCCCTTGTTCGTTTAGCCAAGGAGACTAAGGGGCCCTGGGTAGATATCCCGAAAGAAACTCCCACGTTGTACCTCATCATGGGTAAACATGCGTTTAGTGCAGATCGGAAGCCTTGGCAGGTGAAAGCAGCACAGATCGGGTACCGAGCCAAAATTTTTCGAAAGCCCCCATCGCACCTACAGGGTGCTTGGGTCCTGGTCATGTCTCTTGTAGATCGGTGCCTGAAGGTGCTCATTGACTGGACAGAGTGTGAGCGTTGTGCAGGGAGATCATTGCCTCCAACTGGTGATGCGTCTTCGAAGTTTCTTTTTGTTTATGCAATTCCACCTGCCAAGGATTCTCCAGTACCGAAGTCAAAAGTAGAATGCGAACCATCCTCTGTTTCTGTGTCGCAAGTTACTGCTGAAGCTTTTGTTGCAGCATGTTCACTTGAAGATTTGCACGCAGGAACAGCTGATGTTGAGCGCAATCCCAAGCCCCAGCATTGTAGTGAGTTAGCGGACTCTGAGTCCTTTGTCAGCTGTGATGAGTCAGACGAAGCTCTGTGCGTGCCTTCTCAAACCAGATGGCCTTCAACCGCCGCAGTATGCTCACTGCAGCCCTCACATGATCGAGTCGTACGGCAATGCGTCAGGGAACACGTACCATTGCAGTCACTGCCGCACGAAGTGCAGGGATTGCAAGGGAAGACTGGCTCGAGTTGTGAGGGCCACCGGAGAGATTCAATATGCGTACCGCAAGGACTGTGCCGTGACGCCCATTCCTGGACCATCGACCTTTACCGTCCTCGCCGACGGAGATTTGGTGGAGTCAGAAGGCGCTCCCGAGGCTTTGGACAAGAAGGGCACCGTCACATACCCATTCAATGTCCGGAAGATTGCGTTGCGCTCAGAGAAATTGAAGGCCCTACGAGAGAAGGACCAGAGAGCTTCCGAATATGCTCTGGAGATAGCGACTCAGAACCAGGCGCCAGTGCAGCAGGAAGTCAAGAGCTTGAAGACGAGTGGAGTCTTGACTGGACAAGCCTCGACAGGCCTGCCTGCCGGCTATCCCAGGGCTCCACTCCCTGCAGCAACAGCGCCGTTGAGTCATCCCAGGGCATCGCCGTCAGTGGTGCCAGCATCCTCAAGCACACCGCCCCAGATG